TGAAATTTCTTCTTTTGCAAATATTCCTAATTGAGTAAACGTTTCACAACTAGTACTCTGTTCATCCAGATTCAATGGTGAGATGTTTACGCTTTTAGATGAAATAATATCTAATTCTCGTTGTAATTTTTCAATATTCACTGCATTCCCGCGGCTTTCCAATCTTTCTCTATCCCATGGATAATTATATTTTGACATTCCCATATCCATGATTCTTCTAATGATTTCATTAGGATTTGGAATATGTTTTAAAGATTCCAAAATAAACATTGTATTGAGTGCTAGCTTTGAATTTAATTGAGTTTGATAGTCATCTTTTTTTCTGAGCAGTTGCTGACGAAGTTGCATTGAAAGAATATTCTTGTATGAAGGATTGTTGAGAAAAGAATCTATAATAGAAATAGCGCGTGGAAAAACACCTAATTTTGAAAGTGATTCTGACATACGATCAATCGATTTTATGAAAAGTAATTGCAAATTTTGATCATTTGTTAGTTGATCTTTGAGAAGGTTGTAAGCTTTTAAAGCATCTGTGTAACCAAGTTCAAAAACATCAAGCTTCATGTTTGTAAGAGATCTATTAGACCATAACACTGGATTTTTGGGCGTTTGCGCAAGACCTCTCGTGTAACAATTCCATGCTGAAAGGTAATCTCCCTCTCTGAAAAATTGGTTGCCTTCGATGCGGAAATTCATTATAAGAATAGTTAGTAAATATTTTTGTGGAATTACATGAGAAATTGTGCGTGCGTTGTGCAAATTTAAAATATTTACTAATCATATATACGTAATTCATAAATCTACGATTACGTGTGCATCAAAGTATGATGTTATAGCTCTTAATCTCCGCATATAGATTCATATTTATGAAACTTTCTTTATAGTAGTTTATAAAGAACTTTGATAAATTACAGCGCTTATTAAAGGTTTTGTTTATATAAGATTATTTTTTGAAAATTGCTACTCCTCGACGAATAAGCCAAATTCGTAAAAAAAAAAAAACATGGCAGTGCAGTCTTATCTAAATCTAAAAAACTATAAAAAAAACTATGTATTTTGAAATTGGACTTTTAACAAGATCCCTAGCGATTTTTGGATAGCTTGCACCATAGGTAATGAGTATTTCATATAAAGCTATGTAAGCCACTACGCTTTGGCGCAGAAATAAATTTTCTGCGCCGGATCATATAATGAAAAATTAGTGAGTAAAGTTCGATTTACTTAGTAAAAAAAAAAAAAAAAAAACCTATTTTAAGTGTAAACCGATTTGACTGTCCTATCAATCCAAAGGGATAAAATATAGTATAGATGACACCTTAATAAATTGAGTTAAAGTAAGTGTTACCTATACTATATTTTATCTGAATTGGAATTTTTTATTTAATCTTTAAGCAAAAGATTCTCGAAAACCGTCTATCCAAACTCGACGAAATTTTTTTATTTTAATTCTGAGGACTTATAGAATCAAAATAAAAAAAATTGTCAAATTTATATAAGTATTTATTGAAAGCTAAAAAAAATTTGGCCGCAGCTTCTTTTTTATAGATACTAAATTTTGAATGAATATTACTCGACAATTACCTGATAAATTCTATAAAAATTTTTTTATTTTGATTCTATAATCTCATAAAATTAAAATAAAAAAAAAAATTGATTGACTTTGGTCAGGTAGGTGTCTAGTAATTTTGTTCAAATTTTAGGGATCTATAAAAAAAGAAGTTGAAGCTAGATTTTTTTTAACTTTTAATGAATGTTCTTCGACAACTAACTATACAGATTCAATAATTTTTTTTTATTTTAATTCTATAAACTATTAAAATTAAAATAAATAGAAAATTTCATTGAATTTGGATAGATGGTTGTCGAGAAATCTTTGCCTAAAGTTGAAAAAGAAACTTTTGCCCGATTGATATTCTAATTTTTTTTAAACTTCTAGCAAAGATATCTCGATAATCACTAAACCAAATTCAGTAATTTTTTTTGATTCTGCAAAAGGATGGATTAAAATAAAAAAAATTTTACCGAATTTGGTCAAGTAGTTATTGAGAAACCTTCGTTAGAAATTTAGATTTAAAAATTTTGGATGATCGCGAAATTTTGATTGGTCGTGCGAAATTTTTTAGGTTGATTTTGGTCATGATTTTGAAAATTATACGTATTTCAAATCTAGACCCCAAAAATCAACATCAACCATGACATTTACTATTTCCAGAAACCTTTTAGTGAAATAGAAGATAACTACTATTTTGATGAAATAAAAAACAATCGTGAAAATTCTCCTGACTATTCTTTAGCAATTATATGTGGTATGTTGCTGATAATAATGATTGTAATGGTCGAGAAAAATATAGTTGAGAGAGAGATTGAATAATATAAAAAAAATTTTTTTTTTTGGGTTGATAATTCTTTCGTCAACTGATAAAATTGCAAGATTTGGTACATGTTGAATATAATAGAAATATTTCTTGTAATATTTTACTATATACTTTATTTTAACTACTAAAACTAGCAATAAACCTAACTTTATTTTAATATATTGCACCATGCAATACTGTAAATTATAAATTTCTTATAGATTTTATCACAAATTAATCCGAATGTTATAATTAAAATTTACAAATTATAGAAGAACTGGATAATATGTTCATACAAATCAAGATAATCAAATCTCCCGGTTATAATACCTGTGAATTTATTAATAATTCCAATAAAGCTATTCTTGAGATAAATTCATAATTCCAATAAAGCTATTCCTGAGATAATAAATATGCTCGTATTTATTCCAAGTACTGGAACGGGTTATCAGTAAACTTATCTGATGTTTTATGTCTGTTGTTTTATGGGTTAACCATACTAATTTATATATTTTGTAATTCCATAATTAAATTTGATTTACTCAATCTGATAGCCGGTCAATTTATTAAAATATATCTTTTTGTTAAAATATTCCCTATTTACCTTATAAAAGTTGTTTGGAATAATATTGTAATAATACACTATAACATAATATATAAATAAATATGCTATTTAAATAACTTAATGTACTAAAGAATAATATTGTAATATAAAAATAATACAAAATAACATAATAATTAAATATACTATTTAAATAACTTAATGTACTAAGAATAATATTGTAATATAAAAATAATACAAAATAACATAATAACTAAATATACTATTTAAATAACTTAATGTACTAAGAATAATATTGTAATATAAAATAATACAATATAACATAATAATTAATAAATATGTTATTTCAATAACTTAATGTACTAAATTTCAAATAAAACATATTAAAATTATTTAAAAAAATTAACAAAATTGAAATAGTTATTTTGCTCTTGATAGAGCTATTACCCAGATCAAACAAGTCGATTAAATAATAATGACAGGCTTTAATTGATTGAATGCATAATTAACCCAGGGTTCTCTGGTGTAGAAATTAATGAATCTGGTTAGCGTATAGAGCAAGTCAGAATTAACTCATGAGCTGAAAAAAGACTATCAATTTCCTGCTGAGTTAATTTTGTTTCTTTAAGCAATGCTTTCCTATAGTCGTCTAAGACTTTTTGTATGTTAATTTTTTCTTCGGTATCCACAGTCACAATTAACTTTTCATGTTCACTTAATAGAGATTGAAGATACGAAATTCGTTTCTTATTTCTCATGTTTCTTTTAAACGGAAAAACACTTTTACTTTCCAAATTGCTTTTAATAGAGTTGATAAGTTTTTCAAAATGTTTTATCATTTCATTCCTATTAACAATTAACCATAAAATAAATGATTAAATAGTACTATTAAAAAAATACAGTCAATTCTATAACGAACTGACGGTTTTTTATAATAAAAATTTTTCAAAAGTTCGCTATATAGTGATTTACTATATTTTATATACTGAACCAATAAAGTTGTCATATGATATATATATATATATATGTGCTTACAAGCTCTCTCTCTTCTCTCTCTCTCTCTCTCTCTCTTCTCTCTCTCGTCTCTCTATCTCTTTCTCTTTCTCTCTCTCTCTCTCTCTTCCTCTCTTTCTCTCTTAATCAAGGTTTCGGCAGTATCAGCATCACGTTCACGTATTTTATCGGCGGGACAATTCTTTTCACAGTATTTATGGGAACAATAATTGCATTTCATTTTATGATAAGATTAAATGATGGATATTGTAAAATAATTTGAATATCTGTATCTTTAGCAACTTAGACCGTGACCAAGCTAGAAATTTCTTCGCTCCATTTGAAATGAACTCCATTGAAGATTTTATTTGTTTTTATGATATACATATATGTGTATATTAATATCACGGGGTTGATCCATTTTTTTATGTCTCAGATAATTCATGTGTACGTAAGATGTTACGCATTAAGCTCTGATTACGATGTAACAAAATAAGCTTTTGATTATTACTGTATTTGTTTATTATTTTATTTTTCAATTTTCCATTTTCGCTGCTAACAAAATGATCACTATCGCCATTACGATTACGTACGTACGTACGTATGAGGTCAAATAACCCACTATATACTACATGAAAGGCATATTTACATATCCCTTTATGGATTTGTATTCATTTGTATTTTTTCGATTACATATTATGTGATTAAAAATTTTTTTTAGAAATTGGTTCAATTATGTAATTTACAGTTAAAGAAAAATTTTACGAATATGTTTTTATATAACGCACAATTAAAGAAAAATTTTATCAAAATATTAACTTTAAATATGACATTTAAGTAAGCAAAATATTTTAACCCGTTTTTTGGCTTATTAAAACAAAGCAATCGCAATTGTGTAATTGGAGTGGAATTCCTTTTCTTTAGTAAATTTAATTCCATTTGATAATAACACCCAACATTATTTTTGATTATTTTTGATTATTTTGATTATTTTTGCATGGCATTTTATATGTTCTGCAGATTTTATATATTATTAGAACGGCCTTTTCGTTACTTTTAGTGGAGCAAACTTCATTTTTGTAAATATGTTCAAGCGTCTACCTATTATCCCAATACATCATATTACTGTTAAAGTCTTTACATATTCTTGGCATGGTCAGCGATGTTTTAATGTCGTAATATCTTTTTTTTTTTTTTTTTTTTAATGGCTTAGAATTTGAACAAGTCTTTTCTAACCATATTTATGGTTTATCACACGATTCTTTTAATAGTTCTTTCTTCCTAAATGCGATTATATAAACCAAATATCATTCAATAGCATGTTACAAATAAATTGTAGAATTTTAAATGCACCTTGTAAAGTGTATAAATAAGTTACCCGGGCAATTTATTTGTATCAGCCAATCCGATTGAAAGCTTCAATTAGGACAAACTATTATTATGAACGGTTCCTCTAGATACGTATTGTTTAAGTTCTGAAACTTTAATAGAACATTTTTGGATAGTGTTATTATTTAATAATTTGAAAATTACCAGTTGAAAACCAATTAATTTAATGATGTTTCTATGCATAATTAAAGTTCTGTAATGCATATATTATTAATCATTTAATGTTAAGCTATGTCCATATTGCCCCAGGCATCGATTAATAATTATGCAAGTTATTATGAGTCTAAAAAAAAATGATTGGCGAATAGTATCGATCAAAATGTTGGGATTTTAAATACATAAATTTTATCCGTTGTTACATTCAGTTAATTTTATATGTTGTTACACTCAGTTAATTTTATATGTTATACTCAGATCAGGGTTCTTGGTCAATCATAGAAAACGTAAAGAGCATAACTGAAACTTAATAATAAATCTTGATACTAGAGATCAACTAGTCATGCTAGCATACAATCGGTTAAGATATACTGACAATATCATATATATTAGTGTATCAATCTGGTAACTATGTAGAATGCGTATTAGTTACCCGATCTTCTACTGATTTATGTTTGACTTGTAAACTTTCTATGAGAATATATTTTAATATTCACGAAGTACTTAGCACCATCTGCGCGTTATCTGAATATATGTGCGTTATCCATAGTACACACGTGTCTTTGTTTGAGACAAAGACAAATTTTTTTCTAACCATATTTTCAAGACAACAGTACAAGATAATGTACACATACTTACGTTAATATGAATTATGCCAAGAAAAAGCCCCTATTTTTTCATGCATTTAACAAGTTTTACCTGTAAATTCATTAAAGAAATCGGTCTTTATACCGAACAATTAGAATTTATGTGGCATTATTCTATGAAGTGCACATGATTTTAGAACTTTATCTTGAAACATGTTATTTTTAGGGTGCCTGTTATTCGCGAAAATACAATAAATTAATTATCAAATTTTTCTATTTTTGTTGATAACATCCGGACGTTTGCAAGCATCCTAGTGGATTAAAATCATAAACATGAAATTTAATTAGTAAGATCAATTTTCTAGATCGATAAAATGTGAACTGTTAAATCTGGGTTTTAAAATAAAAATTAAAATTAAAATCATTTTATTTACTCTTGAATTTTTTTTAAAAAAATTTTTTTTTAAGAGATTTATTAATATATTTATAGAACCAATTAACCAAATTTGTTAATAATACTTTATTAGATTAAATTAACGATACTGACAATTATAGTAAGGATACAGTTTTGAACAAAAGAAATTCAATTATTAATACGTACGTATTGTAAATACAGAAATAGCAAGAAGACTTAATATAAAACGTCAGATGTAATGATTTGTTTAATGTGATCTGATTGGTCAATCGACTTATGTATTAGCGTTAAAATTTGGGCAAAATTCTAATAAAAATTCGTAAAAATTCTAATTGGTTAGTTTTTAAGCTGTAAATAACGATAATTGATAAATGTATTATTGGATAACAAAAATGCACAAGGACATAACCGAAACATTTGTTGCATATAGAATTAAAAAACCTGCATAGAATATCAATTTTATATATTTGGTTTATATAATATATCGATATGCAATAAGTATAATTAAAGTTTATTACGTATCAGTTATGAGATTTAATTTGGCAAATTTGACTTCTAAAAGTTTCAAACACAAAAAATTAGGGAAAAAAAATTAAGGACCATTGAGTTATCCTGTTTTCTAATCTTGTATAGTCGAGTTGTACATCAACACAATATGTTTTTCAATTACTTATGCTTAGGGACCGATCCACCGTATATCGATATCTGATATGAAAACTGATAATAATTGTATTTCTTATTTTGATAAACAAAATGTACTGTTTCAAACATACAAATCTCGAAACATGCAATGTGACCCTTCGAAAATCCCTTTGACCGGATCCAAGGTCGTAAAAAGAAAATGAAACAATCTACGCCAAGTAATTAAGTCTAAACAATGATTCAAGTATTTTACGCTCGAAAATACAATGACTTAAAAAAAAAAAAATCTTCGATATTGAAACCAAAATTACGCCGGATGAATTATGATCTAAAAATAAATATTTGTGTAGAACAAAAATATGTATTTTCTGCGCTCAAGTTTTATCCGTACAAATTAATACCTTGCCGCATAATTCTCAAGTTAAAAAATTTGTTAACCAATTTTTTATATAAAATGGCCGTCAGAATTCTTTGGTCACCTTCAGACAAAAAAGCAAGTTCTTTTGAAATAATAAATTCTAGTGTTCTGGAAACACAATATTTTCTTTAACAAACTAATCTCAAAAAATATTATATATATTTTCCATTATCATTATCCTTCTTTATTTTTCGAAAATGAGATCTTATCTTTTTGGACTTTTGGTTTTGATTGCTTCCTTAGCTGTTCTCGTCATCGCAGCTCCAGCTCCACAAACCACCAAATCTCCAAATAGCAAGCAAAACACCAACCTTCCAAAGAGCAAGCAAAACAACACCCCTCCAAAGAGCAAGCAAAACAACACCCCTCCAAAGAGCAAGCAAAACAACACCCCTCCAAAGAGCAAGCAAAGCAACACCCCCACCCCTCCAAAGAGCAACAACTCTACATGTTTCCAAAAAGACAACGCGATACAAGCTGAGAATCTCCAAAAGAAATTTGATACTTTAACCACGAGTTCTCCATGTAATCCCGGCGAAAACGCTTGTATTAACGGTCAATTCGCTCAATGCTCTGGTAAAAACCAATGGTCTCTTACAAAATGTAACGCTGGTTTAACTTGTTGTGCGCTTCCCCTTCGAAACAAACCAGGCACTTCGGTCGCTTGTGGTAAGTTATGATTTACTATAAAAATTTGTATAATTATGTTTATTGAAATTGATAATGTACGTATAATTTTTAAACTTGGTGATTAATTTATTTTAATAGATACCAAGGAAGATCAAGCTGCAAGAATCAAAGAGGGAAAAGCTGCCTGTCCATAAACTTTTAAAATCGAAGCTGCAAGAATCAAAGAAGGAAAAGATACCTGTCCATAAACTTTTAAAATCGATTGTTGTTATCCAGAATTTAGAATTTATTATATATTTTTGTTTCATTGTTCGATTTATATAAACTGGTTTATATATTTCGGATACTTGTAATAAAAATTTGTACACATTTTTTTAATTCGATTTGTAAATTCTAAAAAATTTTTCATGTAACACATTGCATTCCATATTGTGACTTGATCAAGAAAACTTATTTTTGTACGCATTAATTTAATAAAACTTCTTGAATCCTATAATTCTTAATAATGTTTGTTCGTAAAAAAAAAAAAATTATTATCAGATATTAACAAATGAATCCGTAAACCCGTAAATCTATAAACAACAAGATAAAAAAAGCCTCTTGCGAAATAGGTTGAAAATACATGACTAAATCCCTAAAATCGCTTAAGTCTGGACACTCTAACTCACATGGTTTTTGACAAAAAGATATTAATAATGCTTTGTAAAAAAAAAAAAAAAAAAAACACTACGTACGTAAAAACCTTATGATTTTCGTTATGATAATATGTAGCGAGAAATTTCAATTGCCTATCGAATATATTTTTTAATTATTAAGGAAAACTTACGTAAATACAATACAGATTTAAATTTTCACTATGCCAAAAACTCTGAAAATTTGATAATCAATTATCAAAATTACACAATGAGGATTCGAAAATCTTCAATCATTAGAAAATCAAAAAATCTGCAGGAATCTGCAGATTTTCTATGATTCACGAAGGCTCTTCAATCATTTAACGTTTGAAACTCTAGTAACCTTGAAAGTTACACAAAATCGTATGCATATCAATATAGATTACTATATCGATATCGGTATAGTTTGCAAACGGAAATACTCATTAATGTGAGTGATACAACAAAAAAAAAAAGAAAACAAAGTTTTGTGAATTAGAAACTTAGGGGATGTTTGAGGTTAGAGAAAATAGCGATAGGAGTAAATAATTATTTCATGTCCATAAAATTTTATTCCCGCCATTTATAATCAGTGCTTCAAAGACCAGGATTGGCAATGAAGTTTAATGTAGCTACCAGTGGACTCTAAATGGAACCAATGAAGTTAAAGCTAGTTTTTGAGCTCTATTCATTTAACTATTGCCAACCCTATCCAATACACGTAAACAGGAGGAACCGTTGATACGTCACAAAATCGTTACACAATTGATAAAAATTTTTTTTATATTATTTTACAATACTTTTTTGGAAGGCTCGCTTGACTTATCTTTTCTATGAATATTGAAAATGGTTAAACAAACATAAAGCTCTCACTTTGCTTTACAACATATTTTTTGAATCCCCTTGAATCCCATGGTTTTGTCTTTTTGTAAATTTCGCAATTTGATTGGTTGACTAATCCCGTAGTGATATTTTGACTGGTCGATACAATGAGTGATCTGTGTAACGGAGAATGAAAATCATATCTATATTTGGACGGTTTCTCCTGTTATACACGTATCGAACTGATCCGGAATCATCAATTTTCGTTCTCCAATTGGTTAACCTCCATTTATGGCAATCTAGTAACTTATTGTTACGTATGCGGATGACACACCGCAAAGTGACTTTAAAATAGGACCCTTATATAATACTAACAGAGGTTTATATGTGAAAAGTGGCCAAAATTTTTAAAAAATTGCAAATCTGATTGGTTAAAAAATTTAACAAATCAAAACTCAAGAAAAGTGGATAATGCAGCAATATAACCTCTGTTACATAGAGTAGTGATTTGAACCAATTGGGCCATAATCGGGTAACTGAACAAACTCTGTTAACAGTTGAGTAAAGTTCTTAATCGGTTGTCCCGATAAAGCATTTTCATATTAAATTTAGCAGATATTCGATAGATTTACTATTAAATTTGCATCTAACAGATAACCAGATCAAAAGCCCTATGACCTGGCACAACTGGTTGATAAAGTACAACCGGTTAATAATCGGTTGTGTCATTCTGTTAAAACAACTAACTCAAACAAACGCTAATTTAAATCTTGAATATAGTTATTGGATTAATCAAACTTCTATTACAATAAAATATCAGCATAACTCTTCCTGACGATCACTTGTACCAACCTAACACCAAAAGCAAGTTGAAGATTCAAGCCTAGAAGTCAACAACAACTTGAAGTTTTCTTGATACGAACTGTTGTCAACAAAGTCTTTAAACATGATATACCAAGGAGTGGGCATTTTGGATGGTTTGCAAAGAGGTCAAGCCTTGGTTTGCTGCTATTTCTTGGGTAGACTCCTCTTTGTGTTTGGCATCCAAACCGGAGGAGTCTCTGGGAACAGCAAGTAGAAAAGAAAACTAAAGTTAGTTTGAAGATGAAAGACTTTGAAGAACTTTTGGAACAACACTCTTTGGTTGAAAAACTTGCAGAAACTCGATATTTTTTTGCTGTCTTTTGGTTTCAAAATTTTTGACAAAAAGTAGGAAATTCGGCTTACCTCCTCCAAAAGATTGGCATTGTTTACCACTTCCATATCAGAAAACTAGATGATGATAAATCAGCACATATTACGAAAAGAATGAAATGATAACAATAAGTCACGTGGAGTTTTTAAAGTCCTTATACTTTTAGATGAAGATATGGATTTAATTGGGAAAAGTCAAGCAAGTGTTTTGAAATATACAATGTGTCTCTTGTATATAATTTTTAGTCTTTGGCATGAGTTATAATGCATTTTGTTTTAGTTTTATATTTCTATTTTTGTCAAGACTCTCGCACTTATTAGTAGATCATTACTCTGTATAATTAGAAGTTTTCATCTGGTTAGCAGGTTTTCTTCTTTTTAGTGATAGTTTCTTTTAGATTTTTAGTTTAGTTTTTTATATTCCTTAGTATTAGT